CCCCAAAACCCCAAAACCCCAAAACCCCAAAACCCCAAAAATTAATAATAATTGATAAGACTTATCATCCAAACAAAAATGGATAAAATGCATCGAATCGAGCTGAATGACTCCTATGGGCTAAACGGTAAAGGAGATGAAGGTGATGTCCAGAATGACTCAATGGATATTGAGACAGAGGAGCTTATGAGGGTAAACCCTCAAAATGATCTCAGAGATTCCCATCTTAACCCCAATATGGCTCCTTTGTCCACCCAAGAAATTGCTAAGAGACTGATCCCGAAGGTCTCAGTCTTAAAGAAAGCGCTTAAAAGTGCGGATCTATACATAAAGTTTGATAGGATTATGGAGGAGTTCAACTCCTTGCTCTATTATAACTCGATAATAGAGATAGCCGCCTGGGTTATAGGATTCTTATGCTTCATCTCATACCCCTCTCAGATGGGTATCATCTGGATGCACATTCTTCACCTAGGAAGAGGCGGCTACGGCCTCTTCTTGGTGATCAAGAAGACTCCGAAGAACTACGACCTCATTGAATCTATTTCTGAGGTACATAATGACCAACTTGATGAACACTGGGGATTCGAGAAAATGGCTAAACATATCAGGGATAACTTTAGAAAGCATCTCATTGATCTTTTAACGAAGGATAAGAAATTTTATCTCATCTATGTGATTGTCTCCTGGGTCGCGATGCTGTTGGATATGATTGGATTTCTTGTCCAGCTTATCAAATTTGGTACCAGTGGTGACGAATACTCTGACCTTTTCATGCTTGGTGTAACTATAATCTTCCTGTACACCTTGTTTAACTATTTCTTCTGGGTGATCACCTTCTACTTCAGAATTGAACCAAAGTACAGAAAGGATGCAATGAGAGCAGGAATGGGCTTTGCCAATGGCCTCAAGTCTAGAATCCAAGAGAACTATCACAACTACAAGGGTAAAATGTTTCCTAAAAATGATGCTCCTAAACCCCCAACAAGAGGACTCAATCCCAGAAACGAAAACTCTGCTTAAAAATCCCCAATTTCTGATAATTAGTGAACTAAAACTCAATTTAAATATTCAAAATCACTGCAATGTTTCGGGGTTTTGGGGTTTTGGGGTTTTGGGGTTTTGGGGTTTTGGGG